AAAAAAAATAGAAAGAAAATAATGTCTTCTTTTTCCTTTTTTAAGAGAGATTTTTGGTATAAAGCACATGTGCTTGCCAGAGAGACAAAAAGTGAGAACTTGTCCCCCTGGGGGGATGGCCACGCTGCAATCCCTTCTCCTCCATTCTCCTGGGATTTTGGGCATGCACGCACATGCGCCCAGTGTGAGTTTTAGGCCACCAGGTCCAGGACTTGAACTGCAGTTGACTACGTGGGAGTACAGTGGCGTAACCTCTATACCATCTGGTGGTCCCGATAATGTTTTTTTCCTAAAGAAAGCCATTTTGCCATTCACATTGCCATAGGACACTATGACTTTGCCTGACAGACTTCCCACCCTGAGAAGAATGTCACACCAAGATTGCCTTTTGTCCCCCTTTTCCTGCGAAAGAGTTCAATTGTGATTTTAATCTATGACACTACAGGAGAGAGATGAGGTTTCACCCACTTTAAAATAGAACAATCCTAATGAGGTAGACTTTCCTTTGTAATGGGGACTTTTCCAGAAGAGATGGAAGATTTTGCCAATATTTCTGAAACTCATATATGGTCACTTAGCTGTCACTACCTTCCCCAAAGTCAGAGATGGCCACAAAGCCTTTACCAGTGCTCCCGCTGAGAAGCGGAGTTGACGTCCCCTCCCTTGAGCTTAGCTGACCAGCAGAGCAGAGTGGAATTATGCTACACCAGTTCTGGGACAGCCCGTCAGTGAATTGGCAGCTTGTACGTGCTCTCCTGGAGCCCAAGCCACCAAATAAAGTCAGAGCACTCGGCTGGAAGGACCACACGGGGAGGTTCTGCGTCCACAGGGAGAGGGAGGAGGCCCTGGCTGAGTCTAGCCGCCAGCTGGCCCCACCAAAGTGCTAGCCATGACAGTGAAGCTGGCTTGCACTCTACCTTGCAGCTGAGCCACCAGGTAAATGCCACTCAATGCCACATGGAGCAGAAGGATCACCCAGCCACGTCCTGCCTAGATCCCTGACCACACGTCTGTACAGGAGAATGTAAAGATTGCATGAGGTCCTTGCTTAGGCAGCTGGCTACGCGGCGTAGCTAACTGGTGTGACGCTCAAGCCTGCAGGACAGCAGCGCAGTTAACAGCCAGGACGTCCTGGAGGGACGCCTCTGCAGTATCTGCAGGATTGTTTTTCCTGTGTTTCTAGACTTCTTGGATACTCTGAATGTATTTATTATACTTTTTTACCCCCAGATTAATAACTGAATTCAGGGACCAGCAGATAATGTAATGATTATGTTGCTGGACTCCCACCTAGTTGACTGCGAGTCCCGGATCCAGTGACGTAACACTCATGCTGGGCATGCGTGCGTTCATGCCCAAAATCCCAAGAGGAGAATGGAGGAGACGGGACTGCAGCATGGTCATCCCCTTTGGGGAGGGATGTCTCACTTTCTATCTCTCTAGTGAGTACATGTGTCCTATAGCAAAAATCTCTATTAAAAAATTTAAATCCACTTTGTAAAGGGTCTTCACCTGAAACTATATTGAGTATACCAATGGAAACTGCATTAGTATACTACTCAAAACTGAGTTGATCCTATGAGAATGCTTGATCTGTATCTACTTATGCAACGAGAAAGGTCAAGAAGAGGCAATACTGTTCTCATCACGGTAATTCCTGGGATATGAACTCCCAGGTGTTTTATAATTCTTTTCCTTACGGATACGTTTTCAGGTTTAATCAACGAATACGTATTATTTTGTAATCCTCCGAAACTGGATTATTCAAACTTGAAATATCCATGCATAAAAACCCAAGAGGCTGTTGCCACCTGCATTTGAAGCTGGGAACATTCATTTTCTTTTTCTTTTTTTTTTGGAGAGGTTTTTTTGCTATAGGGCACGTGCACTCGCCAGACAGACAGAGAGAGACAGAGAGACAGAAAGCGAGAAATCACTCCCCAGGGGGGATGGCCACACCACAATCCCTTCTGCTCCATTCTCCTCTCGGGATCTTGGGCATGCACGCACACGTGCCCGGCCTGAGTTTAAGCCACCAGGTCCGGGACTCGAACCACGGTTGACTACGTGGGAGTCCAGCAACATAGCCATTACGTTAACTGCTGGTCCCAAGCTGGGAACATTCGTGAGGCACGGGCTTGTGTGTCAGGACGACCTCGCTGTAGTCTCTGGTGTCTTGAAGACCTTGCTGGGGACACAGTGGAAACAAGGACCGACATGGGTCCCACTGTCCTGGAACATGGCTGCCCAGTAGAAGAGACAGACTCCTATTGGATAATGACTCTGATACCAGTATTGATGAATACAGAGGTTCTGAAGTGAAAGGACGCCAGATCCCTCAGCATGTGGGGCCAAAAATCATCCTGGACTTGAGGGGAGGACACCTCTTTCTCCTTTAGAGTGATGCTTGAGGTGAGACCTGAAGGATGAGGAGGTCCTCCCTGGTGAAGGGTGCAGGGCAACTCTACTCCCTGGGTGGTTCATTTGCAGGTGACCCGGACCCTGGGTGCAGGCTTGGCCTGCCTCCTTCATCAGGGAATATAATGCATCTTTCCTATCTTGCCTCAAGCGCCATTCTCTGAAGGAGAAAGGGGTTGGGGGAACTTGCCACGTAGCTACCAGGGTGGTTCTTTACCCTCACGGCCTGTCTCAGTTACCTGTGTATTCAGGTAGGAAACCTTTCTCATATGCCATGAGGGAAAAGAACAAAGCGTGTTCTGTAATTCCCTTTTTACTCTTTCCTTAAGTCAACAGCAAGCCCCTCCGCGCCCAGCTGTTTTCCCCAGACTTCTGTTTTGGTCAGGTTCCCATCGTCCTGTTCCAGGGGTGGTGTGACTCTCTTAGGGAAGGCCAGAGAAGAGGGCTGAGACTTCTGCTCTCCCTAACGTGGTCCTTATCTGCTGCTGTGAACGGCTTCAAGAGGAGCCCAGATTCCATTTCTTGCCTAAAGGAGACACTGCCCTGCCCGGATCTGTACCACAGAATAGTAGCAGGAAAACCTCTCCCGAGGTGCTCCCACCCTGGAGAGACATACCTGAGCATCCACAGTGGGTCCCCATAGGGACCCGTGACAGTCAGACTCACCTTCCAGAGCAGCACAGCCAGTAGCAGGAAGATGAGGATTCCCACCAGCAAACTGATAGCGATGATCCACCCCACCACGTAGCCTCGGGGCTCCAGATTGTGCAAGGCTTCAAAGACCACCTAGGGGGCAACGTGAAAGTGAAAATGTTTTCCATAAGAAAGCAGCATAGCACGAAGGAGCCCGGCCTGTGCTTGATACCTGGGTGAACTAGAAAGAAATGTCCCGACTACTGTAATGAAAAAAAAAAAAAGAAAGGACTCTGCTGAGTGGATTTCCTGGCCGTGGATTGATAGATTTTTCACTAGCACCCAAAAGAAGGCACCTGAAGATTAATTTAATTTTGTTATTATTACTTATCTTTTTACAAAATTGGACCAGAGGGAGACAGAGAGAGAGAGAGAAAGTGAGAAAGCAAGCTGCCAGGTCTGGAACTCGAACCACAGTTGGCCATGTGGGAGTCTAGTGCCTTAACCACCATGCCACCTGCTGGTCCCAGATTATTATTTTAAGGGAAATCAGGCAGACCAGAAACCATGCCTTCCTATTACACCTGAGGACCCATGAGAGAAAACTGCCTATAAAACACAGCAGACCGTGCCAGGGATAGAAATGAGGCCTTGCGGTACCTCTTCACTAGCTGTGTGACACTGGACAAGGTACTTCACCTCTCTACACCTCAGCTTTCATCAGTAAAGTGGGGTAGGACCTCTCCAGGGAACTGAAGGGATAATGCATCTAGGATTCCTGCAGAGCACTTGACCCAGAAGCCACCGCGACAAACAGAGAGTACTCTTAGGGCATCGCTATCGCTGCTGGAAGGGGGACTCTTTTTGAGGTTGCGCATCATTGGCTACTCCTTAGTTTTAAACAATTATTGAAGTTTAATACACATAGAGAAAAATGTCCATATCCTTCCAGCTCACCATGTGTTCACATACTACACGCTGAAGGCACCTGTGTCACCAGCTCTCCAGAAATCCCCTTCACCCTCCCGTCCAGTCACAAACCCCACAAGAGTACCCTGACTTCTTTTGTTTAATATTTTTAGAGAGACTTTTGCTATAGTGTGTGTGCGCTTGCTGGAGACATATTTTTAGAGAGACTTTTGCTATAGGGTGTGTGCGCTTGCTGGAGAGACAGAGAGAAAGAAAGCGAGAAATCACTCCCCATGGGGGGATGGCCATGCCACAATCCCTTCTCTATTCTCCTCTTGGGATTTTGGGCATGCATGCACACACACGTGGCGTGAGATTTAAGCCACCGAATCTGGGACTCAAACCTCAGCCAATTACAAGGGGAGTCCAGGGAACTAACCATTACACCATGGGCTGGTTCCAATAATACCCTGACTTCTAACAGCCTCGAATAGCATCCTTTGGCTTTGTTCTTGCTGTAAGTGGAAGGATACCACGTGGACTCCTGTATCTGGCTTTTCTCTCTCAACGTTATGGCACGTCCACTCTCATGGGTGGCTAGCATTCCACTGTGTGGATACATGACTATTTACTAATCCCTGCTGCTGTTGACGGGCACTGAGGTGGCTGCCAGTTTGGAGCTAAAGCAAAGAGCGATGTTCAATCAGTATGCAGCCCTGAGAGAAGAACATCTGGGAGACAGAGCAGGTGGGACCGAAAGGGCTCTGAAGTCTATCATTCTAAGCCCCCTATTTTCTCCCTGGTGAGATGAGCAATTCCTATCTTCAAGGATGGGAGTTGTTAGAGCCATGTCTCTGGGTTACTGTCTCTATAAAAGGTATGGATCAAATCTCTTCCCACACCAGAACTTCTTGAGTGTCTTACACAGATGAACTATGAGGCACTGCGACTGGCAGAGGGGAAAGACAGGAGGGAGGAGAGCCGCCTTTAATCCTGGTTCTGGGGCAACCTTTGGCAACCAGCTCCTCTCCGTTCCCTCCCCTGTGAAATGGGGGCCTGAAGAGAAAGCCTGAGAGCCCCGTCAAAGTGCCAGGGTCTGGCTGTAATAAAGTCTACTCTCCCTTCTTGCTGACAATGAATCGTGGAGACGGGCCATGAGCTCAGTGGGTTGGCTGTAAGGCCCAGTCCCTGTGCTAACCCAGATGGCTTCTCGGGGACACAGAAATCTGCACGACCGCCCAGCTGTGTAGGAGGTCTGGTTTTGTGGATACAGAGGTTGGAGTGGCCGTGACGGTTTAGTCTGGTGAATTCCACGGCCCGGCCCTGTCACCCCCCAGGAATGCGTTGCTCTGTCTTTTATGATCTCACTGACGCTGTTCGTCTTCTTGGATGTGCGCCTTATCCTTTGGCCGAGCCGCTCCCTCACACCATGACTGTAATAAACTCATCTGCAGGTGATGAGCTGAGCATTCTCATGTCTTAGGAAGTCAGGCCTCCTTTCCAGAAGTCACGCCTTAGTCTGAAGACAAAACAATCAAGAGCGTCCAGAAACAAAAATGTGACCATCTCTTGGTTTTCCACCACGAGTGAGCTGGTGCTCCAGGTCGAGCCCCTGTTCCACTCTACACATGGCTTCTCTGCACCCTCTGGTTTCCATCCCAAGTTGCTGCTTCAGTCCAGGCCAGTCTGTCCTCACCAGCAGTGTTTCAGGAGCCCTGGAGGCATTTCTGATGTTAGCGTTGTCTTTCTCAAACATGGGCACCACTGTGTCCCTCTCTCAGTTCCCACTGTCAATGGCTTCCCTCTGCACTGAACACCTAATTCTGGATCCCAGGCTCTTCACAACCTGGTCTCCTGCCTACATTTCTAGCTCTTCTCAGGGCATGTGTTCACGTTCTAGGCAGCCACACTTGTGTTCCCTGTGGGGCTGCAGTCCCCTGCCTCTATACGGGCTGCTTCTGCCACCTGGAACACCCTTCCATTCTTGTCCATTTGACAAGCTCCATTATTGCTCCTCTTAAAAAACATTCATACCCTTGGATCTCTTAAATCTGTACCTAAACACTTAAAGAAACAGAAAATACAGAAAAGGTTTTAATGCTCAAAGATGTTCACTATAGAATTATTTATATTGGTGCAAAATTAGAAATATCCTAAATCTCTAGTAATAGATAGGGCAATAGATAAGGACATTATTATGGTCAGTCACAAAATGGGATATCACAGAGCTATTAAAAATGGGTATGTATCCAAAGGATAGGAAAACATTCTCTTGGAAAAGACACTTGCACATCCATTTTTATTACAACATTATTCACAATTGCTAAGGCAAAGGATCAACCTAAGGTCCAAGAACAGATGACTGGATTGAAGAAATATGGCATATGTACACTGTGGACTACTACTAAGCCATGAAGAACACTGAGAAGACCCTGTTATCTGATACAAAGTTGGTGAACATAGATGGATAAATACTAAGCACAGCAAGCCAGACCATGAAAGACACACTGTATGTCCCCACTCAATATATACAGATTATCTGCACTTTATCACAGAGACAGAAAGATTGGAAGATATAATAGTAAAGACAGCAAATGTAGATACTGGAGACTGTATAGGAGCGGTGGGTGGATAGTGAAGGGTGGGTGAGGGTGCAGGAAAAAACATTGATCAGCCTCAAGAATGGAAAGGTATCTGTTGAGAATGATGTATATGGCAACATCTTTGACTTGACTGACATGCACTGCACACTTGCTCTGAAAAACCATGCTGTACGCCGTGAATATGTGCACTGATTAAATGTAAATTTTTTAAATGTAAATTTTAAAAAATGGCAGGGACTAGTAGGTGGCATAATGGTTATGTTGCTGGACTCCCACATGGCCGACCGCGGTTCGAGTCCCAGACCTGGCGGCTTGCTTTGTCACTCTCTCTCTCTCCCCCACCCCTCTGGTCAAATGAAAATAAATAAATAAGTGAATAAATGAATATATAATTCTTTTAAAAATAAAAACGTTAAAAACCTGACTGTTGGGTCCAGCAGATGGTGTGATGTTTATGTTGCTGGACTCCAAGAAGTCAACTGCAGTTTGAGTCCCGGACCCGGCGACTTAAAACTCACACTAGGTGCATGTACATGCGCGACCAAGATCGGAGAGGGGACTGGAGGAGAAGGGACTGTAGCATGGCCATTGCCCCTGAGGGGGTGACTTCTTGCTTTCTGTCTCTCTGTCTCTCGGGCGAGCACTCATCCCTACAGCAAACATCTCTCTAAAACAAAACAAAACAAAACAAAATAACAACAGGACTTTTATACAGATATGCAGTGAATCCATGTCAAAAATGTATTTAACTCATTATTTAGGGAATCGGCAGGATGGTAAAGCTATTCCAAAGAAGAATCTGGAAAAAAATGTACAGTCACAGAAAAAAATTAAGAGCGTGCTGAAATTGGATTATTAAATCAGATATAAAACTGGCAAATACATTAGAGGCAATAAAATATAACCGCCGGGATCTTATTTTTTGTCAAATAAATCATTTTTATCCTTACTGGCAATGGTCATGTGTAACATATGCCTTCTCCAAGTCAATGAATAACTTCATAGAACTGGGCCCTCCAGCGGTAGGCAGGCCTGACAGACCAGTGCTTCTCAAGCTTTAGTGTGCATAAGAATCGCTTGAAGAACCTTGTTGAGATACACATTCTGGGGACCAACAGATGGCATAATGGTTAAAACACTGGACTCCCATGTAGACGACCACAGTTCGAGTCCTGGACCTGGCGACTTAAAACTCATGCCAGGTGCGTGTGTGTGTGTGTGCCTGAGAGGGATGGCAGTGTGGCCATTCTCCCTGAAGGTGAATTTCTCACTTTCTGTCTCTCTGTCAGGCACATGTGCCCTATAGCAAAAATCTCTCTCTCTCTCCCAAAAAAAAAAAAAAAAAAAAAAAAAGATGCAGATTCTGAATCAGTGAGTCTTGGGGAAGAGGCTGAGATTCTCTGTCTCAAATATACTCCCCTGGGACAATGCTGTACCCCAGGCCACACACAGAGAAAGGGCTGAGGAAGGCCCAGTGTGACACTGAAAGAACACGTGTGACCTTTTGGCCTAACCTTGGGCATGCACGCACACGTGCCTGGCGTGTGTTTAAGCCGCCGGGTCCGGGACTCGAACCACAGTTGACTACATGGGAGTCCAGCGACGTAGCCATTATGCCAACTGCTGGTCCCTTTTTCTTTT